CCCCGCTCCCCCGCCTCCCCCCGGCGCAGGCAGGCTGTGCCCCCTGAATATTTGATGGCGCCCAGAACCTCGCATCGCGGCCGGGGGCGTCGACTCAGACCTCGGGCGGAGGACATGGCTTAATGGGACGCCTCACACCTCCTGGCTCATGGCTCCTTCTCATACCACTTAGCTCCTTCCTTCACGCCTCACACTTCCTGGCTCATAGCTCCTTCCTCACGCCTCATACCTCCCTTGGCTCATAGCTTCCTTCCTTCATACCCTCTATAGCTCCTTTCCTCCATACCTTCTTAGGCTCCATTCCTCACGCCTCATACCTCCTGGCCTCATAGCTCCTTCCTCATACCTCTTAGCTCCTTCCTCCATACCTCTTAGCTCCCTTCCTCACGCCTCATTACCGCATTGACTCATAGCCTCCTTCCTCATACCTTCATAGCTCATAGCCTCCTTCCTCATACCTCATAGCTCCTTCCTCACACCTTCTTAGCTCCTTCCTCACGCCTCATACCGCATGGGCTCATAAGCTCCTTCCACTCACACCCTTTAGCTCCTTCCTCACGCCTCATACCGCATTGGCTCATAGCCCCTTTCCTCAATACCTCATAGCTTCATTTAGCTCCTTCCTCATACCTCATACCTCATTAGCTCCTTCCTTCACAACCTCTTAGCTCCTTTCCTCACGCCTCATACCGCATGGCTCATAACCCCTTCCTTCATACCTCAAGCTCATAGCTCCTTCTCATACCTCCATTAGCTCATAGCTCCTTCCTCACGCCTTTCATACCGCCATGCTCATAGCTGCTTCCCATCAGCCTCTTAGCTCATAGCTCCTTCCTCATACCTCATACCTCATAAGCTCCTTCCTCACACCTCTTAGCTCCTTCCTCACGCCTCATACCGCATGGGCTTCATAGCTCCTTCCTCATACCTCTTAGCTCATAGCTCCTTCCTCATACCTTCATTAGCCCTCATAGCTCCTTCCTCACACCTCTTAGCTCATAGCTCCTTCCTCACACCTCTTAGCTCCTCCTCACGCCTTCATACCGCATGGCTCATAGCCCCTTCCCTCACACCTCTTAGCTTCATAGCTCCTTCCCTCATACCTTCATAGCCTCATTAGCTCCTCCTCCTCACACCTCTTAGCTCCCTTCCTCACGCCTCCATACCGCATGGCTCATAGCCTTCCTTCCCATACCTCCTGGCTCATAGCTCCTTCCTCATAAGCTCATAGCTCCTTCCATCACGGCCTCATACCGCATGGCTTCATAGCTCCTTCCTCATAACCTCTTTGGCTCATAGCTCCATTCCTCATACTTACTTTAGCTCCTTCCTCACGCCTCATACCGCTATGGCCTCATAGCTCCTTCCTCACGCCTCTTAGTTCATAGCTCTCTCATTCCTCATAGCCTGCATACCTCATAGCTCCTCATCCTTCTCACACCCTCTCAGCTCCTTCTCTCTCACGCCTCATACCGCATGGCTCATAGCTCCTTCCTTCATACCTCCTGGCTCATAGCTCCTCCTCATAGCTCATAGCTCCTTTCCTCACGCCTCATTACCGCCATGGCTCATAGCTCCTTCCTCATACCTCTTGGCTCAATAGCTCCTTTCCTCATACTACTGTTAGCTCCTTCCTCACCGCCTCCATACCGCATTGGCTTCATAGGCTCCTCCTCACGCCTCTTAGTTCATAGCTCCCTTTTCCTCATTACCTCTTAGCTCCTTCCTCACGCCTCATACCGCATGGATCTTTCCTCATACTTCATACCCCATAGTTCTTTCCTCACACCTACTGTACAGTTTCCTTTTATCACACCTAATACCCACGATTCCTAACTAAACCCTCACACCTCATATTTCATTAAAAAAAAAAAACATCCTTTCTTTCACACCACACGCCTCACATGTCAGGCCTTTAACAAAAGCTAAACTCAACTAATGCCTCATACCTCATAACTTCACAACCTACTTCATGCTTCAAGTCAAATGTTTTCTCACGCCTCATACCGCATATCTCGTTACTTACTCACACCTCCAAACCTAACATCATAACTTCACACCCTCACACAACATACCCAATACCTCAGGAACAGCATACCTCATATTTTAACATCTCATAGACAGAACTTCATAACCTCACACTTCTCCCCTCACACCTCCGCAACTTCACAACCTCAAACGGTCTCTTTCTCTTTTTCTTTTCTCTCCCTTTCTCTTCTCATTCTCATTCTCATCTCATTTCTCAAATTCTCATTCTATTCATCATTCTCATTCTCATTCTCTTCTCATTCTCATTCTCATTCTTCATTTTCTCATTCTCATTTCTCATTCTCATTCTCATTCTCATTCTCATTCTCATCATTCGCTTTTCTTTCTTCCTCTCTTTTCTCTTTCTCTCCATGCTCTCTCTTTTCTCTCATTCTCTTCTCTCCTTCTCTCTTCCCTCTTTCCTCTTCTCTTCCTCCTCTCTTCTCCTCCTTCTCTCCTCTCGGTCTCTCTCGTCTCTCTTCCTCTCTTCCTCTCCGTCCCTCTCCATTCTCTCTCCTCCCCCTCTAGCTCCGTCTCTTCTCTCTCGGTCTCTCTCTCTTCTCTCCTCGCTCCTCGTCTCTCTTCTCGTCTCCTCTCTCTCCTCCTCTTCTCTCTCTCTCTCTCTTCCCTCCCTAATCTACCTTTCCTTCTCCCCCTCTTCCTTCTCTCCTCTCCTCTCCCTATCCCCCCTCCTTCTTCCCTTTCTCCCTCTCCTCCTCTATCCCCCCATCTCATTCCCTTTCCATCCCCCCTCTCTAATCTCCCTCCCCTCTCTCACTTCCTCTCTCTCCCTCCTACCTCTTCCTTCTCCCCTCCCCCCCCTCTCCTTTCCCGCCTTTCACCCTTATTCCCTCCCATCCTCCCTCTAACCCTTCCTCATCTCGGCCCTCCCTCTCCTCTCTCTCTCTCCCTTTCACCCTATATCTGCCCCTCTCATTTTTCCCTCCTTTTCTCTTCTTTCTCCCTCCTTAATACCTCCAATCTCCCCCCTCCCTCCTCCTCTCTCCCTTTCAATTCTATCCTCCTCTCTCAATTCCCTTTCACTCCTCCCTCCTACCTCCCTCTCCATCTCCCCCTCCCCTCGCTCTTCTCCTACTATCCCCTCTATCCTCCCCCTCTCACTCCCCTCCCTTCCTCTCCTCCCCCTTACCTCAATCTCAATATCCCACCTCTATCCCCCTCGCACCACTTCCCTTTCCCTCCCTCCTACTCCCCTCTCCCTCCCCTCCCTCCCTCTCCATCTCCCCTCCCCTCCTTCCACCTCTATCTTCCCCCTCTATCACTCCCCCTCTCCACTCCCTTTCCCTCCCTCCCTATCTACCGCTCTCTCCCTCCCTCCCTCCTCGCTCCACTCTCCCTATCCCCCTCTATCTCCCCCTCTCACTCCCTTTCCTCTCCCTCCCTACCTCCCTCTCCATCTCCCCTCCCCTCGCTCCACTCTCCCTATCCCCCTCTATCCTCCCCTCTCACTCCCTTTCCTCCTCCCTACCCTACCTCTCCATCTCCCCCCCCTCCCCTCGCTCCACTCTCCCTATCCCCCTCTATCCTCCCCCTCTCACTCCCTTCCTCCCTCCCTCCCTACCTACCTCTCCATCTCCCCCCCTCGTCCACTCTCCCCTTCCCCCTCTATCCTCCCCCTCTCATTCCTTTCCCTCCCTCCTACCTACCGCTCCTTCTCCCTCTATAACCCTCCCTCCCTCCCTATCTACCGCTCCCTCCCTCCCTCCTCCCTCCCTCCCTATCTACCGCTCCTTTTCCGTCCGTCCTCCCCTCCCCTCCCTCCCTCCCTAATCTACCCGCCTCTTCCTCCCTCCCTCCCTCCTCCCTCCCCCACTTCCCCTCCTCCTGATCAACGTTTGGTGTGACATAATTCTACCCCGCACTTGAACACGCGCTGCCGACCTGGTTTGTAATTCCAGGGAGACACTTTTTTTTTTTTTTTTTATCTGTTCATAATGAGATCAGGAAGGGAAGGGAAACAGGGTAAGAGGTCACTTACGCGAGGGAATATCAGGGTAAGGGGAATGAGTAGGTCAGAGACTGAGGTAAAAAGAGAATGAAAGGATTTACAGGGAAGGGTGAATGGGGTGGCAGAGGCTTAATAAAAGTTGAATGCGTGGGTAAGAAATTTAAGGAAAATGAACGGCTTAGAATTTAAGGTAAGGAGAATTTAGTAGTTTTAAAGTTAAGAAAACGAATGGGTAAGAGGTTAAGGTAAAGATAATTAACAGGGCAATTTAAAAGTATTAGGTGGACAGGAGTGGAAAATGAGTAGGTAAGAATCTAAGGCAAGGATTACAAGTGGGTAAAGGTTTAAGGCAAGACGAACGGGTGGATGTAGAAACAAGAGCAATGCTGGACATGAGGATAAGGACGACATTAAGGTAAGGACATTTTGACCAAGAAAAAGCTCAAGGAAATAAGCCAAGAGAACAAATGCAAGCCGAAGACAAGCGCTAATAAACCAGCCCCGCATTCTGATTAAGGGTAAATGTATTGGGATTATACAAGGAAGACTCGAGGGCAAGGATATTAAGGTAAGAAGGTCACAAACACTAGCAAAAGGTAAAGGGGATAAGGGAGCAAGGACATTGAAATAGAAGAGTCATACGTGAGATAATGGCCCATGGGATAAAAAGAAAAGTCCTGAGCAATCTAGTGGTCCAAAAGATGGAGAAAGGTCACAGGAACGATGCATAGGAACAAGAGACCCAGCAGGGCGAGGTCAGCATGGGAAGAAGGTCAGAAGGGCACGGAAACAGGGCAGGAAAACCAAAAGGACGAGGACCTTAATTCAACAAAATCACACGACCCAAGGACATTGTGATAAGAACGGTTCAAAAAATGATCAAAAATTAATCGAAATAAAGAACATCGAACCCCCAAAAGGTCATCAGAGGTCAACTCCCCTCAGAGGTCATATTACCCCCCCCACCCTATCCCCAGAGGTCAAACAGGGCCAATGACCTTACCTTGGGCACCTTCGCGCACTTGTCCTTCCTCGTGTCTCTGATGGTCATGATGTCTAGCATCTCCGTCTCCGCCTGCGAAGGGAAGAAGAAAAGTCACGTGACGGCGCCGACATCGTGAAGTGAGGAGCTCGTCTCCTTGATGGATAATGGATGTTGGGCGTCGGGGATTTTCTTTGAGGTGAATGTTGAAGTGTGAGGTTGGCGAACAGCTTCAGGGGAAATGTGGGAACAGTATGTTTTTATGTACAATATAGAGAATATATATATATATATATATATGTATGTGTGTGTGTGTGTGTGTGTGTGTGTGTGTGTTGTGTGTGTATGTGTGTGTGTGTGTGTGTGTGTGTGTGTGTGTGTGTGTGTGTGTGTGTGTGTGTGTGTGTGTGTGTGTGTGTGTGTGTGTGTGTGTGTGTGTGTGTGTGTGTGTGTGTGTGTGTGTGTATGTGTGTATATATATATATATATATATATATTATATATATATATATATATATATATATATATATATATATATATATATATATATATATATATATAATATATTTACATTTTTATCACTTGTCAAAGTCCTTACCTCTTTCTCCCAAAAATAACATCATTCGAAACTACTATAACTATAACTTTACACTATAAACTACTATAACTATATACTATAACCACTTTTATTACCGCTTCGAGTACAACAACTCCCCTCTGCTCTCTTATCTTCGACCACAGACCGGAATCACTCAAGTTTTAAAACAATAAATAAACAAATAAAAGCCATATTTCGTTATAGATAAGTGGATATTTGTGACACTTCGATTCTGTGGTTCCTTGACAGTTGCAGGATTCGATAAATGTTCCTTTTTTATTATACACGAATACGTTTCCTGTATTATCAGTGACTTTTTGTCGTTTCCTCGATATCAAAATAGGCAATTCTACGTCTCTTTATTTGCTTTTAGTTGTTATATTCATACACATACACACACATTCATGCACACACACACAACACACACAACACACACACACACAAACACACAAACACACACACACACACACACACAAACACACACACACACAAACACACACACACAAACACACACACACACACCACACACACACACAACACACACACACACACACACACACACACACACACACACACATAACACACATATTATATATATATATATATATATATATATATATATATATATATATATATATATATATATATATATATATACACACACATATCATCGCATTGGAAGCTCGCCTCTGAACCCTAAAACCAGAACGCTGCTCATCTTTAATATGTAATTTGCATAGCACGTACATTAAGAATACCCGCTGCCATTACCTCTAATTCCAGATTCCCCGGCCTTTTCTGCGTTC